TTTCCCTCTTAAAAAAAAAAAAAGTAAAAGCAAACCTGTGCTGAAGGAGAGCCTCACGTCATTTTCACTTCAGTGATTCTTAAAGAATGTCAACTGGATCCCACAGCAAGAAAGACCCCTGAGGGCCCCAGGGGAGCAGAGTGAAGGAGTGGGAGCTGTCTGGTGTGACACCTACCTCAGCCAGGTCCTTGCTGGCATCCTTGACCAGGACAGGAGTGAGGGCCACGCCGCTCTCAGAAATAGCCCTGTGGAAGAGGTTCTTGGCCAGGGGAGATAAAACCTAAGCAGGGAGTGGAGAGAAGAATTTATGCACATGGGGAGGGGCTCAGTGGCACATTTGCTCTTCGAGGTCACCTCCACCCACAGCTCTTTCTTGGTTTGCTTCCCTGAGGACTCTAGGGCTTCTCACCTGGCTTGGCCTCCTTCCCAAGCTCAGCTGGGGCCTGGCTTCCCCAAGAGAATCTCAGTGGGGTTGAGCCAGAGCACAGAGCTAAAGACAGAACAAGATGAGGAATGCACTGATCTGAATAATCAAAAGACAGTCTGACTATCATAGCCATGGATTCTGACTCAGCATTTCCATTACTTGGAATTTATTTCATGAAAAATGATCATTAAGGCCATGGAGATGCATAAGAATGCTCATACCATTTATAAGAGTAAAAATTGAAAATGACCCAAGGTTGCAATGTCAGGACACTGGCTGAGTAATTTTTCATTCTTACCACGGAATACTATGCAATTACAAAAGATCGTATCATAGAAGAGTGTTTAATGTGTAGGGAAATGTTTATATTACATACTATTGGGTTGTCAGGAAAGTCATGACACAGTTTTGCATAGAAAAACATGTCATGACTTCTCGGACAACCTAATGTAATGTTAAAGAAAGTCTTCATAAAAAAAAATAGTTACTACCCAAGGACCAGCCCCATAGCCTTGTGATTAAGGGAACCGGATCCCACATGGCAGCCCATAATTAGAGTCCTGGCTCTGGCACCTTGCAAAACACACACAAAAGTGTGTATGTATGTGTGCTCCAAATCCTGACAGGATGGAAAAATGAAGGAGAGGGGTTATGGCATGTCAGCCCCATTGGGAGTGCCTTCTCCCCCATCCCTCTGTCTCTTTCTGGCAAATGCACATGACCTCTGGCAATTAAAAATGCTCAAGGGCCAGCAGGTGGTATATCTGTTAAGGTGCTGGACTCCCACATGGCTACTCCAATTTAATCCCCAGACTCAGTGGTTTGAAAGTCACACTGGGTACATGTGCTGTGTGCCTCAAAATCCCAGGAGGAGAATGGAGGAGAAGATTGTGGCATGGCGATCTTCCCTCAGGGGGATGATTTCTCACTTTTCCTCCCTCTGCCTCTGTCTCTCTCCTTCTCTCAGGCAAATGTACGTGCTCTATGACAAAACAAACAAGCAAACAAAAAAAAAGCTGGCTCAATCCAAGGCCACCTTAAAAAAAAAAAAACACCATTTATGGGTGGACAGTTAGATTAGATAGATTGATTAGGAAGAAATAAATGAAGAAAGGGAAGAAGGTGGTGAAGGAGACTTAATAAAGAAATTAGATAAAGAGAGTAGATATATAGATACAGAAAAAAACACTAGAAAATACATGGCAGAATGTCCACAGTGACTATCCTTGTGTACTGGGATTGCAGAGGACATTTTTCATCTTTGGGTTTGTCAATACTTTCCCTTTTTATCTACTTTAAGAAAACAAAAACATTTTCTTTGGAGTTTTCAACCCTGAACCAAATGCACGTTTGAAAAACATGGTAGCAATGCTGACCCTCTGCTGGAGAGTTTCTTAACATTCTCAGCACCTTCCCATCTGGATTTCCATCTTGGCTTCCTTTGGCTTCTCCCTCAGCCCCATTCCCCACACCAGCAAGACATCTTATGCCCCAGACTATGTCTCCCATGCCCTATGGCATCCCTCCGTCTTCCCATCCACCTCCCCTGGCCCTCCTCTCTCTTCACCCAGAGACTGCTACCCATTCTTGGACATGGACAAGTTGTCTGACCACCTCTGTGGATGCCCTGCCTGCTCTCAATACTAGCATTCCCTTGACATGTAACCTGCTAGTCCAGCTCTCATCCTTGCCTCCACTCATTTGCGATTTATACCCACCCCAACATCCTGAGAGAGGTGAGGTGAGTCCCGAAGCTAAAATGGTCAGGAAGGAGAGAACAAGCTCAAGTCAGTAGAGGAGGAATGTCACTGTTGCCAGCTGTGGCTAGAGATTCTCATGGCCCCAGGACCTGAAGCTGAGCTCTGAGTTTCCTGGGGGCCAGAGAGTCTCTGCCTCTTCGCTCTACTATCTGATGCTGTGTGGTGAGAGGAGTCACCCTGAATCCTTTTAAGCACAGGGGCCCATGGCTGGATTGGCTCATCTCTCAGATGTCCATCAGTAGCCATCAGGCCTAGGGGTGGGGCCGGTGCAGGAACACTTACAAGAACAGAGACACTTTCACCTCCTGCTGACTCTCCAAAGATGGTCACAGAGCCTGGATTCCCTCCAAAATTGGCAATGTTGTCCTGGACCCAGTGCAGTGCGGCCACCTGGTCCAAGTGGCCCCAGTTTCCTCGGCAGTGTTCGTCCCCTGTGCTATAAGAAAATGGAGGAAGCAGAGCAGAGTCATCACGGCAGGACTCTCAGGACCACTCACAGATGGGGCTGGGTCGCTCGGTGAACCTTCCAGAATAAGGCTGGACTCCCATGTTCCTGACACAGGGGCCTTCACCTGCCCTCCATTCCTACACACTGCTCTCTTGTAGGGCTCTACAGTCCTTTATCTGGCAGTCACCACTGAGTGTGTACTGTGTGCTCAGCACCATTCTAAGAGCTGAGGACAATAATCCAGGCAAGAGAGAGAGGGCTTTGATTAGGGTGGAAGAAAGGAAGGAGGAGAGAAGGATCTGAATTCTGAATACATTTTTTCTTTCTCTTTTTTTGTTTTTGTTTTTTTGTTTTTAGAGATTTTTCCTACCAGATTCAAGTGCTCACTAGAGAGGGAGAGAAAGACAGAAAGCAAGGAATCTCTCCCATTGGGGCATGGCCATGTTGCAATCTCTTCACCTTCATTCTCTTCTCAGGATTTTGAGGGATTTGGGACATGCCCATATGCACACACACACACACTCAGCATGAGTTTCAAGCCACTGGGTCTAGGACCTGAACCACAGTTGGTCATGTGAGAGTCCAGAAACATAACCATTACACCATCTGCTGGTTCCCCTAAATACATTTTAAAGGTGCAGCCAGTAGCATTTGCTAGCTGACCTGATGTGGTGTCTGAAAGAGAAGCATCCAGGCTGCACGCAGGGCTCTATCCTGTACAACCAGGAGGGAGGCACTGCCAGCTACTGAGCAGGTGACACCAGGGGAAATGGAAGAGTGTCTTTGCTGAGGGAGGGGCAGTGGGTGTCAAGGTCTGTCCAGGTGAAGCATGGGCACCCTCTAGACAGCCAGGGGAGGTGGAGGAGGTAGTTAATGATGAACTCTGGGGTTCAAAGGAGAGGCAGTGGCGGGGGAGGGGGAGCTAGAAATAGGTAGCTCTGAGAGTGCCCCCTGGGGTCATGTAGGGAATTAGTGGAGAGGGAGAGGAGGCCTGAGGACAGGAGGAGGAGGAGAAGTGGGCCCACCAATAAGGCCCGTGGGAGGCAGAGCCACAGGGAGGTGCAAGGTGGCCAGATGCCAGGAGAAGTAAGCGTTCCCAAGAGGCATGAGTGTCTTCAGGTGCTGCTGCTGAGAGGTCAAATGAGACCGAACAGGGAACCAGTGGAAGTCACTGGGGACCTTGACGAGAACAGCCAGGTAGCATGGTCAGGTGAAAGCCTGCCTGGTTCAAGTCCTGGACCTGGAGGCTTGAAACTCAATCCAGGCATGTGTACGTGCGCTCGAAATCTGGAGAGGAGAATGGAGGAGAAGGGATTGCGGTGTGGTCATCCCCCCAGGGGGGTGATTTCTCACTTTCTCTGTCCCTGTCTCTCTGGCAAGCACATGTGCCCTACAGCAAAAATCTCTCTGAAAAAAGAAAGTCTGCCTAGTGTGGGTGGAGGAGAGACAGGGAAAAAGGAAGTGGAGAGAGGTCATGCAGCAGTTTTATGTAGCCAGGAGCAGACACACAGGCTGCGGGTGAAAGGGAGCTGGAGCCTCAGCGAAGACCATACTCACACTTTAACTCACTGGGCCCCAGGGCTTCTGAACCTACTGTTTCTTCTGCCTGGAGTTCCCTTCTTTTGATAGTGGTAAGGCTAAAGTGCTCATTTCATTCAGTTTCTACTCAAGCCCTCCCCTGGTCATATGAACTGAAGTAGCACCCTGACCCCATCCTCCCTTCCTTAGCATATTTTATCACTCCAGAAAGCACTTTCACCACCTGACATGGTCTACGCCATCTATGTGTTTGTGGCCTGTAGTGTGGGCTCTGGAGTCTGAGATTTAGCCAGGTTTGTTCTCAGATGTGCTCTAGCTCTGAGGACAGTGTTGGGCCCACGGTAATAAGGAAATAGTTGCTAAACAAATAAAGGCAGTGCCCGGGGCCCAGGCGAAATGGAAGGGTGTCTATGCTGGGGGAAGGGCAGTGGGCATTAAGGGTGGCCTGTCCAGGGTGGGTCATACGGCGCCATTTAGACAGCCAGGAGAGATGGGGGAGTAGTTAATGACAGATCTCTGGCTCTCAAAGGAGAGCTACTGGGGAGCTTAAAAATAGGGAGCTCTGAGAGTGCCCGTAGCGTCATGTGAGGAATTTATGGAGTGAGAGGAGACCTGAGGACAGGCAGACTACAACCCCTTCTCCAGACCCAAAGGTCTTCCCACTGGTGAGCCACATTCCTCCCCTGGCTCACCCACCAGCCCTCTCGGGGTCAGCTGTTCTGGGATAGGCACACTCAGAAAGGCTCAGTGACTGTGGAAGGAAGCCTGGTTCCTGTCTATGGAGACCTGATAGTGAGGACTCTAGCCTTGACTCCAGCATGTGCCAAATCCCCCAAAGGAAAAGAGGTGTGTGGGCCCCAAAGGTGAGGGCTGTTCAGTGAGGTCAGGTGCTCTGACAGCCTCCTATCTCCAGTCGCTCACTCCTCCCCTACAGTCACTCACCGAGCTCCCCCCCAGGTCTGCCTCTTCCCTCTTAGCCATGAGGAGAAGTGTAAATGTTTAATGTCTGTGCTGCACACTAACTGCCATCGCAGCAGAATGCAGTGTGCTGGGGCAGCACAAGCTAAAGGGGTAATTATTTAAAAAGAAAAAAAGAAAGAAAGAAAGGAAGGGAAAAAAAGAAGAAAGAAAGAAAGAAAGACAAAATATGGAAATACTGTTGTGATTAATTTGTTAAGATACTAAATATTAGGACCAGCAGTTGGTATAATGGCTATGTCGCTGGACTCCCATGTAGTCAACCGTGGTTTGAGTCTTGGACCAAGTAGCTTAAACTCACGCTGGGTGCGTGTGCGTGCGTGTCCACGATCCTGAGAGGAGAATGGAGGAGAAGGGGTTGTGGTATGGCCATCTCCCCTGAGGGGTGATTTCTCACTTTCTGTCTCTCTGTCTCTGTCTTTCTGGTGAGCCCATGTGCCCTATAGCAAAAACCTCTCAAAAAAATAAAAGATGATAAATATTTTAAAACAAAGTAATTTTTGTTATGTAAGTAAAAACTATAAGGATAATCATTTCTGAAATTTTCATGACCATATGGGATCTTTTCCATCAATGTAGATTGGATATAGTCTGAAAATTAATGAGGAACACTTGAGGGGATGCATGAACCCCTTGATATTACACTCAAAAGTTTGTAAATAATGTAGTTTCTGGGGAGAAAGCCCACAATATCTATCAGAATGGGTCCATGTCTATAAAATGTTTAGGAAGTTTCTAATTGTATAATCCCATAACTTTAAATTTTTGGCTTATGATTCATTGGGACTGATAATTACATACATTTTTCTGTTAAGATTAAGTCAGGAAATCAGAAACAACACTGTATATTTCAAGAACAAAAATTAAATATAGAGATTTGGTAAAGCTGGTTTTAAAGAGTTGGGGAAAAACAGAAACAAGAAACAAAAGCAAACAAACAAGGAAACAAACCCCCCAACACAAGAATATGCCACAGATAATACGTCCTGGGAGAAGCTACTACTCTTAGGGATGGGAAATTAAAGGAGAAATGTTAGGGTGACTAGAACCTTGGAACTTTAGGAGGGACCCTATAGAATGGGTGATCAATCTCTGAAAATAGAAGTGCCATATAATATTGTAAGAGATCTGGTAAGACTGTTAAATGTGTAAGTACTAAATGAAGCAGTGATGCTGAAGCAAACTACCACTGAAACACTTTGACCACAGTTTAAATAGGAAAGAGAACCCTCTTCTTATTCTAAATTTCATCCAGTGCTTCCTATTGGTAGAACCTAGCACAAAGTCGATCAGTAAAGGAGTCTGGGAAATGTATTTTGCTGACCAGCACCACATAGTACAATAGAATAGATTTTGGTAAGTGACTTCCATGGTATGCCTTTTAGTGTTGTCTATATAGGGCACATAGCAGGAATTCTATATGTTTGAAAGAACTTACTCAACATGCTTGAACTAGTGTATTAGTGATCCTGTTATTTTACAAAAAGTAGAAAATACACATATCAAAGCAGGACCCCTAAAATTCTGTGCATATTTCCAGACATTGTTCTGAAATTTATTAAGGAATCTCTGGTGATCTAATGAGACTTAGGCAGAAGGCATTGTTATAATTCTGACTTAACCAAGGATATGAATGCTGAGGTTGAAATACAGGAGGTATTTTAATTATACATATGGTCAAGATAAAGGCAAAAGAATAAATTTTTCTGAGTAAGAAAGAGGGACAGAGTAAAGAATTTGAATACTCAAGATGAGTTTAGGGTGTAATTAATTTCTCTTGCCACCTTCATACCAAAGACCTCAAGGGAAGTAGGTATACTACTGATAAGTATAACTAGAGAGCCAAACACCTGTTCTGAACAACAAAATTGCCAGGGTTGGCCCAACCTGACAGACCTCAACTTTATGCTTTCAGATAGACTTGACTTTTTACGTAAGCCATGGTAGTTCCTTATTGGATAAATTTCTGCTCTAATTAAGATCAAAAGTGTTAACTGAATGGGTAGATATCATCTACCTTAGAGGTAGAACTTACTAAGACGGATTCAGGTGGCCTTGAGAGCAATAGCATCAGATGGAGCTCTCCGTGGTGCTGACATCTATACCACGTCTTTTCTACGTGCTGATGACCCAAGTACTGCTTTGTTGATTCCTTAGTTTGTACATCAAATCTATCTACTCTGGTAAGTTTGTCATTATCCTCCTCTGGATGCTTAGTCTTTCTATTGAATTACATTAATAAAAACAAAAATTATATGGCACTTCCAGTTCTTTTTTTTTTTTTTTTGGAGAGATTTTCACTGTAGGGCGCGTGCGCTCGCCAGACAGACAGAAAGAGACATAGAGACAGAAAGCGAGAAATCACCACCCAGGGGGGATGGTCACGCCGCAATCCCCTCTCCTCCATTCTCCTCTCGGGATCTTGGGCACGCACGCACACGCGCCCGGCGTGAGTTTTAAGCCACCGGGTCCGGGACACGAACCGCGGTCGACTAAGCTCTGAGAGTGCCCCCTGGGGTCATGTAGGGAATTAGTGGAGAGGGAGAGGAGGCCTGAGGACAGGAGGAGGAGGAGAAGTGGGCCCACCAATAAGGCCCGTGGGAGGCAGAGCCACAGGGAGGTGCAAGGTGGCCAGATGCCAGGAGAAGTAAGCGTTCCCAAGAGGCATGAGTGTCTTCAGGTGCTGCTGCTGAGAGGTCAAATGAGACCGAACAGGGAACCAGTGGAAGTCACTGGGGACCTTGACGAGAACAGCCAGGTAGCATGGTCAGGTGAAAGCCTGCCTGGTTCAAGTCCTGGACCTGGAGGCTTGAAACTCAATCCAGGCATGTGTACGTGCGCTCGAAATCTGGAGAGGAGAATGGAGGAGAAGGGATTGCGGTGTGGTCATCCCCCCAGGGGGGTGATTTCTCACTTTCTCTGTCCCTGTCTCTCTGGCAAGCACATGTGCCCTACAGCAAAAATCTCTCTGAAAAAAGAAAGTCTGCCTAGTGTGGGTGGAGGAGAGACAGGGAAAAAGGAAGTGGAGAGAGGTCATGCAGCAGTTTTATGTAGCCAGGAGCAGACACACAGGCTGCGGGTGAAAGGGAGCTGGAGCCTCAGCGAAGACCATACTCACACTTTAACTCACTGGGCCCCAGGGCTTCTGAACCTACTGTTTCTTCTGCCTGGAGTTCCCTTCTTTTGATAGTGGTAAGGCTAAAGTGCTCATTTCATTCAGTTTCTACTCAAGCCCTCCCCTGGTCATATGAACTGAAGTAGCACCCTGACCCCATCCTCCCTTCCTTAGCATATTTTATCACTCCAGAAAGCACTTTCACCACCTGACATGGTCTACGCCATCTATGTGTTTGTGGCCTGTAGTGTGGGCTCTGGAGTCTGAGATTTAGCCAGGTTTGTTCTCAGATGTGCTCTAGCTCTGAGGACAGTGTTGGGCCCACGGTAATAAGGAAATAGTTGCTAAACAAATAAAGGCAGTGCCCGGGGCCCAGGCGAAATGGAAGGGTGTCTATGCTGGGGGAAGGGCAGTGGGCATTAAGGGTGGCCTGTCCAGGGTGGGTCATACGGCGCCATTTAGACAGCCAGGAGAGATGGGGGAGTAGTTAATGACAGATCTCTGGCTCTCAAAGGAGAGCTACTGGGGAGCTTAAAAATAGGGAGCTCTGAGAGTGCCCGTAGCGTCATGTGAGGAATTTATGGAGTGAGAGGAGACCTGAGGACAGGCAGACTACAACCCCTTCTCCAGACCCAAAGGTCTTCCCACTGGTGAGCCACATTCCTCCCCTGGCTCACCCACCAGCCCTCTCGGGGTCAGCTGTTCTGGGATAGGCACACTCAGAAAGGCTCAGTGACTGTGGAAGGAAGCCTGGTTCCTGTCTATGGAGACCTGATAGTGAGGACTCTAGCCTTGACTCCAGCATGTGCCAAATCCCCCAAAGGAAAAGAGGTGTGTGGGCCCCAAAGGTGAGGGCTGTTCAGTGAGGTCAGGTGCTCTGACAGCCTCCTATCTCCAGTCGCTCACTCCTCCCCTACAGTCACTCACCGAGCTCCCCCCCAGGTCTGCCTCTTCCCTCTTAGCCATGAGGAGAAGTGTAAATGTTTAATGTCTGTGCTGCACACTAACTGCCATCGCAGCAGAATGCAGTGTGCTGGGGCAGCACAAGCTAAAGGGGTAATTATTTAAAAAGAAAAAAAGAAAGAAAGAAAGGAAGGGAAAAAAAGAAGAAAGAAAGAAAAAAAAAAGAAGGTAAGCATTTAAGAGGAGGTAACATTTGGGCTCTGAAGGATTAACAGGCATTTGTCAGGTAGAGTAGGCATTCTGGGCTGAGGGAACAGAGCATGCCAAAGCTCAGATGCAAGTGGATGAGTGCTGCTGGGGAGTAGGGAGGTGGGATCCAATTAGGAGAGGACTTGGCTTCCTCATTAAGGAACTCAGCAGAGGTGCCTGTGAAGGTTGACATTCCAGAACTGGGTCCTAGCACCCTGGCTTCTGGACCAATGTGCAGTGAGGAGATCTAGCATCTTACCTGAAGAATCCCCAGATGCCCAGGCGGTACTGAATGGTGACCACCACCACATTTTCATGGAAGGGAAAAAAAGAAGAAAGAAAGAAAAAAAAAAGAAGGTAAGCATTTAAGAGGAGGTAACATTTGGGCTCTGAAGGATTAACAGGCATTTGTCAGGTAGAGTAGGCATTCTGGGCTGAGGGAACAGAGCATGCCAAAGCTCAGATGCAAGTGGATGAGTGCTGCTGGGGAGTAGGGAGGTGGGATCCAATTAGGAGAGGACTTGGCTTCCTCATTAAGGAACTCAGCAGAGGTGCCTGTGAAGGTTGACATTCCAGAACTGGGTCCTAGCACCCTGGCTTCTGGACCAATGTGCAGTGAGGAGATCTAGCATCTTACCTGAAGAATCCCCAGATGCCCAGGCGGTACTGAATGGTGACCACCACCACATTTTCATGGGCAGAGAGGGCCAGTCCATTATAGGTTGATGCCCCGCCTATCAGCAGACCACCTCCATGGATCCACACCATCACCTGGCCAGAGAGGAAGTGCCCACATTGGTTACAGGAAGCAGAGCTGGAAAGGACCTCAGAGATGATCTGGTTTGGTCACCCACCTCTTGGCCAAGAGTCAAGGAGGCCATTACCCAAAGTCTACCAGTGCCCAGCAAGGCTGCACCAATAGTCTCTCTTGTAATTCCTCCTCTGCTCTTACAGAAAGGACCCAGACACCACCCTACTCAGTACACCCTGCCTGCCCCTGCCTTTCTCCCCAGCCCCAAGTGCCGCCTCCTCCCAAGGCTCTTCACACTGAGAACGTCATCACTGGAAAAGCAAAGGCTAAGGATGCCTGTTACCCCGATGCTCCCACCAGCCTCACTCCTGGACTGTTCATCCAGATGAATGCATGCAGGGAAGTTCCTAGTGTTTTAGCTTTATCTTGGTCACCTCTTTTGGTAAATTCAACTTTTCTGTGTATCAGTGAATAATTACCTCGCAAAGCACACATGCCTCTGATATCTCTTCCTAATATGCCTCCTCTCTGCCTCCTCTGCAACCCTAAATCCTATGCAGCCTCCAAAGCTCAGCCTAAAATGCACCTTCTCCAGGAAGTCTTCAATAATCTGGCTAAGGTTATGTGAGAGCCCATGAAGGTCTGAGGATAAAAATGGAAGATGTGGATATATGATGGAGGAGTCCGACCCGGTGAGGCCCCAGGATTTGCCTGAGCCCCCTGACCTTTGAGCTCTGCTTCTGGTCGGATCAACACGTTGGCAAGGCTACTGTTGTGCACACACCCCACCCTCCGACCTTGGAACAAAGCTTGGGTCAGTTAGCATGTCAGCAAGGCTGCTTGCTATTTGCTCTAGAGAATTGAGGCAGCCTCACTGGGAAGCGACCCCCCTCTGACTCCCCAATTTACTACTATAAAAGAATTGCATAGCTCTCCTATACATCCTGAGTATATGATAAAATCTTCCAGGAAGTCCCCCAACCGATAGCTCCCTTTTGCTCTGATTACTTACTATTAATTACAATGCTTTACCTCTGTGGTCACAATAGAGGGTAGGCTGAAGTTTTTTCTAGGCAGAAGTAATCTTGACCTTTGGAAGGCCCTTAAATTCTTTCTTTCTTTATGTAAAATAGGATTAGGCCAAAACTGGCCCAGGACACCTCTGCCCTCTCCAAGTGAAATAGATAAATATATTAGGATTCCTCAAATTAAGTTTTAGATCCCTACAAAACTGTATAAATATCATTCTTTATTAAGATCCATAAGAACTAATATCTATTCTTGAGATTTTCTTTTCTCAGCACCATTCCCAGTAATCACAAAATGGCTCGCATCTGCTTACCGGAACCGCTTTCCCGAAACTGCATTCCATGAAGGCCCACCTACAATTGCGGAACTGCACTAGACCCACCCTTAATCAAACCCTGAGTAGAATCTTTGTTCTCTATTGTTAAAAATTTTATGAGCTGTTAATTAAAACACTAGCCCCTCTCCCTTTACTTGCATGTAACACGTTTTCAATAAAAACGCATGATGATTCCTAGCAGTCGTCACTCCTCAGAGAGCGATCTCTGAGGGGTGTCTGGCATAGGACGTGCATAAAAGGCATCGAGGCCTCTGTCTTCTGTTCACCTTCGCCGCCTTCGTCGAGATAACCCACCCACGCCGAGGCTAGACCCCGGCAATATGATTCTTGCCTTTAAAGAGCTCACATGGTAGGGAAGAAATAGGAGAGGCTAAAGTAATAATGTTAATTAAAGAATAAAATAAATTCTGGCCAGCAGGAGGTCTGGTGGTTAAGGCTCTGGACTCCCACATGGCTGACTGTGGTTCCAGTCCCAGATCCAGAGGCTCGAAAATCACACCAGGCTCGTGTGTGTGTGTGTGTGTGTGTGTGTGTGTGTGTGCGTCTAAAATCCTGAGAAGAAAATGGAGAAGGGATTGCAGTGTGGCCATCCCCCCAGGGGATGATTTCTCACTTTCCCTCTGTGTCTCTCTTTCTTTCTCTGGCAAGCGCATGTACCCTATGACAAAAAAACTAAAATTAAAAGAAAATAACTCGCAATGTGAACTACATACCAAGTCCTGCTCCAAATAATTTATGATAAACTGTCCATGAGGTAGGCATTCATTGTGTCCCATTTGATAGATAGGAAAACTGAGGCATTTAACCTGTCTAAGGCCATACAGTGAATAATAGATAGAAGCAAGACTTGAACCCAGGCAGTCTGACTCCAGAGTCCACAGTCCAGACTCGCCAACACATGTAGGAAATGATCACAGTGCAGGAAGTTGGTGATTTTAGGAGAGGAGCAAGATTCTCCTTTCAACTCTAACTAATGTTTCACAAGTGCTTGCTTTATCTACTTAGCCAGGAGCTGACATAAAGCCTGACAGTCGTCACTGAATACTCATATGTGGTCATTCCCATTTTGAAGAAACAAAGGATTAGAGAAGTTAAGAAATTGTTCAAGTGTCCTAGCCAGTAAAAGGTGGAACCAGGATTTAAACCCGACCCTATAGTTCTAGAACCTCTTTCCATAACTAGAGATTCTCTTGCCTCCAAATTCCCAGAGCTCCTGTTCTTCGTACGCTTCTGGATCCTACTAACGTCTCAGGGAGGGACTGAGCTTCTGGTCACCTGTGAGGGAAGGCTGAGGGCTCATGAGCAGTAATCTGAAGAAGTTAGTACATGTCTATGCAGCCCAGATGGCATTCTCCGTGTAGGGGGCCACATGAAAATGGTGTTCTGTTCCGCCCTTCCCTTAACTGCTAAAGCTAACCATGCATACTGTGGCCCTGAGTACAGAATGAATGAATGAATGAATGAGTGAGTGAGGGAACACTGTCCCCACCTCCTGTGCCTTACAAAGCGCATGAAGGGCCGACTTCATTTGCCAGCAGGCCCTCTAGGCCTCCAGCCTGCATCTGGCTGTCTGCCTCATTGGATCTGGCCCTTCAAGTTTACTTGAGAAATGCTGACTCAGAGAGTCATCTGCCTGTGCCAAAGACAATCACGGAGGGAAATTAGCTACAAGAAAATCCCAACTTGGTGGCCAAAGGCAAAGGAAAGTGCTTCTGGGATTGTCTAAGGTTCCACTTCTGACAACTGTCCCAGAACTTGTCACAGATGGATCTTTGTGTGTTAAGGAGCAACCACGCACATGCTCAATGTCTGGGCCTCGATTTCTCTGTTTGTAAAGGAAGAGTTGGGTTATTGGTTTTTCTCTAAGATTTCCTCAAGTCCTAACTATTTGGAAGGTATGTCTTAGCTGCCCTGGGTAGCATATTCTTAATCTTGCACTATTATTAGAGTCCTTGTCCTTCTGTTAGCAAGAGAGAACTTAGACAAATTAATATGTACATTAGGATGTACAGCAAATTCCCCAGAGGCCCATAAGAGAAACTGAGGAATGGAACATTTGTGTGTCCTGTGCTCAAAGGAAGCCCTGAGGCCCCTGAAACATTCCTGGTCTCAGCAGCCCACCTCTTTGTCTGATCTACACCAGGAGTGCTGGGATTGGCATGCCTCGACCATGGCTCCTACTGCTTACCGGCAGCCTGCTTTTCGTCTTCAAGTCTGCCGGAGTGTAAACATTTAGGTAAAGGCAGTCTTCAGAAAATTTGACAGGAATCTCTTCCTTCCTGTTGGTGAAGAGCTCTGAGATCGCCTGCCCCGCCATTATGTCTTGGGAGCACCTGGGGAGAGGAGAGAGAACCTGAGTTTCCACCAGATCTAAGCAAGGGGTCTCCTGGTGTCAAGCCAGGCCTTGGACAGGGAGAGGGGAGCCTAGAGATGGAGTCACTGTTACCAGACTTGAGATACTAGAGTGGGTAAGAGGATTTCTGGGAGGCATTGCTCTGCTTGTAAATTGGTAGCTACATTCCCTGGGAGTTGAGAACTTCCCAGGTTCACACCCCAATATACTCCCCACCTACCCCACACACCTGCTCTCATACCATTCCCTATGTAAAGTTCAAGAAAATAAGTAGGATCATTACTTCTGATCTCCCTCATCTGCCCAACTGTTTTTTATTTCCAAAGCACTTATCATATTCTAACCCATTGCGTAATTCATTTGTTAATTTGCATATTGCTTAGTATCTATTTCCCCTGCTAGAATGTAAGCTTCATGAAGGTAGGGATCTTTGTTTTGTTCATTAGGGAATCTGAAGAGCTTAGATCACACCTGACACACAGTAGACACTCAATAAATACATACTAAATAAAGAATTTTAGAGGATTTTGCTATAGGGCGTGTGTGCTTACCAGAAAGATAGAGAGAGACAAAGAGACAGAAAGTGAAAAAACCCCCCCCAGAGGGGATGGCCACGCCGCAATCCCTTCTTCTCCGCTCTCCTCTTGGGATCTTGGGCACACACGCAGATGGGCCCAGCGTGAGTTTAAGCCACTGGGTCCGGGACTCGAACCATGGTCAACTACATGGGAGTCCAGTGACATAGTCATTACACTAACTGCTGGACCCCTAAATAAAGAATTTTAGAATTCTGTGAATGTTTTTAAGGTTCTGTAATATGCATTTTTTTGAAAGAGAGAGACTTTCACTATAGGGTGCATGCACTCGCCGGAAAGACAGAGAGACAGAAAATGAGAAATCACCCCCCCGGGGGGATGGTCACACTGCAATCCCTTCTCCTCCAGTCTCCTCTTGGGATTTTGGGCATGCACATACATGTACCCAGTATGAGTTTCAAGCCACCAGGTCCAGGAGTCAAATCACAGTTGACTAGCAACAGAGCCCTTATGCCATCTACTGGTCCCAAGTTAGGCAGTACACTTAAGGACTGCACAGCGAAGTATAAGCCGATCAGGGGAGTGCCTCGACGTCTGCCTGCAACACTTGGAGGCAAACATCCCCAGTGAGATATGCCAACGCCAGTCCCATCGGCTTACATGGGAGAGTAAGAGGTGGTGTTCTTCACGAAGCTCCATGGCTCTGCAGGCTGCGGTGGAGCAAACCTCAGGGATCCAAGAGGGGGCTTGGCAAAAGGGATTCCCAGGAAAACGGCCACAGGTTGGGTGAATCCTTTTAAGCTGACGTATTTCCCCAGGACTTTGCCTTGCACGGTGTCCACTATAGGTGGTGACGCTGGGTGCCCTGCAGGACATTGAAAGAAAATGAGGATATGTGAGAGGTAGAAACGTTTGACCTGATTCTAGGTGGGTTTTGCACTTTCTAGGCATAGGATATTGAATAATTCCCCTAAACCCTCCAGACCAGTTTCTTCTTATGTAAAATAGGGATGAGGATACTTGCTATTCTTAAAAAATATATTTATTCAACTTTGTTATTATTTTTTAATTTGACCAGAGAGAGAAAAGGAAAGGGAGAAAGTAGACTGCCAGGTCTGGGACTCAAACCATGGTTGACCATGTGGGAGTCCAGTGCCTTAACCGCCATGGCCCCTGCTGGCCCTTACAAGAATGTTTTAATAAGCAAGTTGGAACTGGAAGTATAAAAGCATCCAGTCAGAAAAAAAGTACAAGAAGGAGAGTGGCTGGAAATAAACAAGTCATTTAGGTTCTCTCATAGAAGCCTCTAGAAGCATTTACCCATTAGAAACCTGACACTGAGCTGCATGCTGGATGAGAGAAGGCACAAGTGGCGGCCCCTGTTTTCAGGAGAACTGGCTCTTGCGGGGAGAATGAGCCACTTCCTTGACCCTAATGTTGAGAAGAAGGTGGCAGCATCCTAGGAGCACCAGTGAGGTGCCACAGGAGTTAGAAGAGGGAGCGAGGCCTTCTGATTGCCGGCATCGTGGAGGGCCTGGGACTTGTAGTACAGGAAGATTGAGAACGGGGATACAGGGAGGAGCATAAGAAGCAGGGAGAAGAGAATGTGCTGAGGCTGAGAAAGAGCAAAAGGCAGGGTCTGCATGGGAAGGGCGAGTGCCTGCGTGTACCAGAGGGAGCCTATGGCGTGTAGACAGTAAGCCTGGAACGTACGAGTGAATGTCAGGGATGGCCCTGCAGGCCAAGCTAAAGTATGGGTTTTATGGGGTCATTGAAAAAGTCATGACATGTTTTTTGTTTGTTTGTTTGTTTGTTTGTTTTTAATGCAGAAATGCAGCATGACTATTGCTACAACCCAATATACTGTGGACAAGGAAGAAATAGGTTCTGGAGTAAGGGTTATGATAACCTTAAAGAAGATTCTTCTAGTGGCTCGTGCAGGGTGATTCAAAGGGGTGAGAAACTGGGGGTGGATTTCTGCATGCCCCATTTATTTTTATTTTTATTTATTTATTTTTATAAAGACTTTTGATATAGGGTACATGTGCTCGCCAGAGAGACAGAAAAACAGAGAGACAGAAAGCAAAAAATCATCCCCCAGAGGGTATGGCCATGTTGCAATCCCTTCTCCTCCAGTTTCCTTTTGGGATTTTGGGCATACATGCATACATGCCCAGTGTGAGTTTCAAGCCACCAGGTCTGGGACTTGAACTGCGGTCAGCCCTGTGGGAGTCCAACAACATAGCCATTATGACATCTGCTGGTCTCAGTCTGTTCCGATTTTGCACAGCAGACATTTTTCCTCACTGGGCTGAAATACATCTCACTGTAGCTTTTCATCTGTCCTGGTTCCACCTGTAATGATCAGGCTGAACTAATCCCATCTTCCTTTTAGGTGGCAGGTAGACCTTTAGACACGTGCTGGCGCCCACCCCTTACATCTTCCCAATCTGGCTTCAGTAACCTCAGTTTTGCCTAAACAGCCCTCATAGGAAATTCCAATTGCTTTGCTGTGGATACAGACAAAATGGACACAGACATACTTTTTCAAAGTGTGTGCCTAGAACAGAAAGAGAAAAGAGAAAAGAGAAGAGAAGAGTAGAGAAGGGAAGGGAAGGGAAGGGGAGGAAAGGGAAAGGAAGTAAAGAAAGAAAAGGAAAGGAAAGGAAAGGAAAGGAAAGGAAAGGAAAGAAAATAAAAGATTTGGTGTTACAGAATACCCAGCAACATGGGAAACTCTTCAGTTATAAACAGTAACCATGTCTCAATTTTTAAAATTTTTATTCATTCATTTTATTTAATTTTAATTTGGCCAGAGCGAGACATTCACACAGAGAGAAAGAGAGAAAAAAAAGTGAGAAAGCAAGCCACCAGGTCCAGGACTCAAACTGTGGTTGGTCATGTGGGAGTAGCCAGTGCCTTGACCACCACACCATCTGCTGGTCTCATGTCTCATGTTATTAATAGCCCATCCTATACTGTGGACATTCTTATTGTCGCTAATTATGACAAGTAACATCAAGAGGAACTCCTTTGAAAGTAGCACATCGCATATCAAGGCGTCAATTGATGGGTACTAGCATGACAGGTGGACCTTTCCTCATGTTTCCCATGTTACCTGCCCTGAACACAGCTCCCTCTTTAGAATCACAAGAACACTTTTATGAAGAAAGATGGCGATGTTTGTAAGGAATTTTGAAGAAGGACTTGGCCCCTGACCAGATGTGAGGGATATGAGAGGGAAAAGCGATCAAAAAGCTACTGATGCTGGGCTCCAATATGCACAGATTCGGTGAGATGCTGGTGAGATATCCTGGCAAGAGGATGCCACAGGGCATGGGCTCTGCCGGGCTGGCAGGAGGCGGGAGGTGGAATACCTGGTGGTGAGGGTGCACCATGACTGTGAGTGACCACAGGAGAGGTCAGTGTCAGAGAGAAGAGGAGCTGAAGGTAGAGTGCAAGGACGGACACAGCCAACTGTGACTGTCCCTCTGCTGGGTCGGAGGGGAGTGTCATGGCATGGCGGAAGAAAGTGGAGCAGGGGTGACAAAGACTGCTGAGGGCTTCCAAGGGGTGAAGATGGGACGAGGCAGAATAAACCACTGGGTCTGGCCTTTATTAGCTCAGCAGTGACCTTCCACACAGATAAGTGGAGAAACATCAGACTGCCAAAACTGAAACAGTGGGTGGGTGGAGTTAGAGGCATAAAAATAAAACAACAGCCATTACCACTTATGGTAGATGTAATGTGGACATCTTGAACGCTGACTCTGAGCCAGATGTGCATTCCCATGGTTTTTGTTCTAGTTTTTGTTTTTGATTTGCCAGAGGGTACATATGTTTGCTGGAGAGAGAACAAGAGAGCAAGAAAGCCCTGCCCATGGGAACTGGTCATGTCCCAATCCTTTCCCCTCCATCTATCCCTCCTGTCAGGACATCCACACAACACGTACCCAGAGTGTTTTTCAAGTCACCATGTCCGGAACTCGAATCGTGGTGTCTGCCATGTTGGATACAGCCCATACCCAGAGTGTTTTTCAAGTCACCATGTCTGGAACTCGAATCGTGCTGTCTGCCATGTTGGATACAGCCACTTTAACCACCACACCACAGTCTGGCCCCAGCTGTGTTTAAATTAATCTTCCAAAAAGCCTTGCTAGGTTACATTGACATGACCACCTTATAGATGAGGAAACCGAGGAAATGAACACAGCCTGAACGGACTTCTTTAAGTTAGAAATGGAATGGTATTGCCAGGGGTAACCAGCGGGAAAGGAACGCTCCCCTCCAAACTTGGCTCCTCTCCTTCACTGCCTTACTCTCTGTCACGCTGCTAGAAAGATAAATCCAGACAGGTCCTGGGTACTGGCTCTGGATTCAGGAGCCAGAGACTGACCAGGCCATGACTGCCCAGCTGACCTTGGGTAAGTAATTTTCCTCTCTGAGTCTGTTTTTCCTTCCACAAAGTGGCTCAGATGTACTCGAGGTCTCTTGCTCTATCCCTGTATTTATTTTCTATATTCTGATGCTTTGACATCTGGGCTTCGCTATTCCTGGAGGGACCCACCAAGCCAGTGCCAGTCTTCCAACCATTTTCTTTATTTGGCCCTCATGCCCTGGGCTGTCCACCTGCCCTAGTCACCCCAGAGCCAGGTATAAAACAATGACAGACAGCATCTATACCCCAGAGCCCCAACTTGCCAATCCTGAACTATTTACCTGCCCTCTCTCTTTCTTCCTGAGGAAAGTACAATAAAGACTTTTGTCACCTTGTCCTCCATCTCCCAGTGCTTCCCCTGGGTCCCCCACCCCACCCCCGCCTTCACCCCAGTGACTGTGAGTAACAATCTCTTTGTTTTCAGTGGCAGTGGGTTCCTGATAGGTTGGCCTGACCACACCTCACTTTTTCTAGGAATGCACTATATTTTGAAATAACTGCCCTTTTCTTTTTTTTTCCATCCACTTATTTTCCTCACTTCTTCTGTGCTAGAACCCTCCAGAATGTGCTAGATACAACCCATTCCATCCTCACAAGAGCCCAGGGAGCTAGGTGCTATTGTAGCCACCGGGTAACTGGAGTACAGAAAAGTTAAGAACCTTGCCTAAGGACACGCGGAAGTGCTGAACAGGGAGACGAACTCATGCACGCAGTTCCAGAGTCTTTGCTTGCATTCTTCTGCTGGGCTATGCTCCATGATCTGGCCACATCTGGGCTAATCACCAAGGGGGACGCATTCTCCAAACGCCTCCCATGAGTGTCAGACGTGAGGTTAGCTAGCCGCCCTCTTGCACCTGGTCCCTGCGCTGCGGGCTCGGGGGCTGATCCCTAAGTCGCTGCTTTGCGGGCCAGGGGTTTGGTGGGCTCGGCTGCTCCAAGCTCAAGTTCAAATCCAAATCGGGAGGGCGCGCAAAGAGCGGGACGGAATGCGTCCTCCCTTCGCCCTGTGGCGTCTTCACCCAACTCGGCCCAGGACAAGGATTTCCAAATGTCCCCCACCCCCACCCCCACACTCCCATCCCCCCAGCCAATACCAACTTACCGCCAGCCGTGGAAGCGGCAAGAGAGGCCAGGACTAAAACACAGAGCCACATCGTGGAAGGACAGCGGTTCGCCGGCCCGGACCAGGTGTAAGTGCTGTCAGACCGGCTACAAGGATCACGCCCCCAACTCCCCAGCTTCCGCGCTCCCGCCCCTCAGCGCTATGGCCGAATCCTGAGCTAAGAGTAAAGCTCCCTTTTCCAAAGATCTCTCTGGGTGTCGGTTAGTACCGCCAAGCCACGCCCACCCAGAGTTCACCCTCTTTTATCTAAAGAAGTTCGGACTAAACTCTTGGATTACAGATAGCCACATACTCGTCCAACAACTTGTTACATAAGAGCTTCTCCCTGAAGGACTCCAGCCGGGTGCGCTGTGAGCGGGTCCAAAGCAGGCACTAGCAGGCAGGTGCCTTTAAGCAAAGGGACCCTTTGGTCCAGGATCCTCAGAACAAGCTTGTATGTTTTTACAGCATTGCAGTCCCACACCGGCTCAGCTGGATAATATGGAAAGTCTCTCTTAGCTTCCCTAGTCCTGCAGCTCATGGACTCAGGTTTGGAAGCAATCTTAAATTTCACCCAGCCTCCTTTCTGATGCCCAAATTAGCTTTACTATTTTCCTGCCAAGTGGCCCAGCCTCCTGTACACACCTCCCGGTCATTGGACTCACTGCCATTCAAAGCAGACATTTTGGAACAGAATAGAAAAATGAACTCCATCTCTCCTTAGTGCCTGGTTCTAATCATCCATCCACCCATCCATTTACCTATTCATTCTTTAAACATCTATCACTCAAACACCAGGCACTTTCTAGGTGTTAGGATACAAAGATGAATTCAAGACATGATTCATTTTTTTCCAAGAGCTCACCCATGCAGCAGGTAAGAAGGACTTGCAGGGTGGGGAGGAAGATTGCAGTGCAATGTGGAAACTCCAGATTAGGGAGATACGAAATGCTCTGTTACACCTGAGAAGGTTTCACTTAAAAACTGCTGGGAAGCCAACAGATGACTGCTGGGGTGCTGGGTTCCACCTGGCTGGCTTCATGGTTTGAATCCTGAACCCGGTGACTTAAAAATCACACTGGGTACGTGTGCATGCATGTCCAAAAGTTCAAGAGGAGAGTGGAGGAATGGGGATTGTGATGTGGCCATTCCCCTGGGGAGAGAGACTTTGTTTGTCTTTCTCTCCTTTTGTCTCTCTGGCCAGCATACATGCCCTATAGCAAAAACAAAGAAACAAACCACAGCAAAAAAGTGCTAGGGAAAAAAGAAAGACACTCAAAACCTTTTTCTTAGGGTCATTAAATGTCCCGCAACAGGAAATTCAGTGCATATACTCTTAGTACAGATGACTAAGAAAATAGTATGTATGAACAACGGAGGCATGCAGATGGTGGTGGGCAGCGATGTGCCACCCCGCAAGGTTGGCCTGCATGGGGAGGTTCTGAATTTACATCCAAAGATCTCTCTGACCATGCCAGATGGGAGAGTGCCCATGACCCGAGGCTGGCTGAACCTGGAGGTAGGTCACATGTGAAGACCCTGTTGGGGGGTACTGTCTGTTTCTCTGTGTCTTGCTCATGGACGAGATAAATAAATAACCACAGAAATACTGTGTATATGCCCTCAGAGTGATGACAAGGAAAGACAGTCTCGATCTATTATGAAGGGGATAAAACAGGAAGTAAAACTGTTATGGCTGCTTTAGGAAACCATTTGACAGGTCCTCAAAAAATTAAACAGAGTTGCCATATAATCCAGAAAATTTAGCATATACCCACAGGAATTAAAAGCCTGCTCATACAAAACCTTTTTTTTTTTTTTTTGAGAGAGAGATTTTTGCTATAAGGCACGTACAATTGTCAAAGAGACAGAAAGTGAGAAATCACCCACCAGGGGAGATGGCCACACCGCAATCCCTTCTCCTTCAGTCTCCTCTCGGTATCTTGGGCACGCACGCACATGTGCCTGGCATGAGTTTCAAGCCACCAGGTCTGAGACTAGAACCACAGTTGAACATGTGGAAACCCAATGATGTAACCACTACTCCATCTAGTAGTTCCATATAAAAACTTCCACACAAGTAGCAGCATTGTTTGTAGTAGCCAAAAAATGGAAACTGCCCAAATTCAATAACTGATGAATAGATAATTAACATGTGGTCTTCCCATACAATGGAATATTATTCAGCCATAAGAAATAACATGTGGTCTGTCCATACAATGGAATATTATTCAGCCATAAGAAGACATGCTACAATGTGAGTGAAACAGAACAGCATTATGCTAAGTGAAAAAAAACCAGACACAAAAGATCACATGCTGTATATTCTATTTATATGAAATTCCACAATAGGCAAAACTGTGGGCAGAATGTAGACTAGTGGTTGCCAGAGGCTGAGGAAAAGGGAAATGTAGGGGAACTGAGGAAAAGGGAAATGCAGGGGAACTGAGGAAAAGGGAAATGCAGGGGAATGAGGAATGACTGGTAATGGATTTGAAGTTTCTTTTGGAGGTGACAAAAATATTTGGAGATTAAATAATGGTGATATTTGCACAAGTCTGTGAATATATTAAAAACCACTGAATATATATTTTTAAAAAGAATTATTTAATTTTATTGATCATTATTATTATATTTTCTTTTTAGGGACCAGCAGTTAGCGTAATGGCTATGTCGCTGGACTCCCACGTAGTCAACTGCGGTTCGAGTCCCGGACCCGGCGGCTTAAACTCACGCCGGGCACATGTGCGTGCGTGCCCAAGACCCCGAGAGGAGAATGGAGGAGAAGGGACTGCAGCGTGGCCATCCCCCCTGGAGGGTGATTTATCGCTTCCTGTCTCTCTGTCTCTCTCTGTCTGGCAAGCACACGAGCCCTATAGCAAAAAAAAAAAAAAAAAAAAAAAAAATGGTTATAGACCAAAGAATCAGAGAGAGAGAAAAGCAAACTGCCAGGTCCAGGACTCAAACTGCAGTTGGCCATGTGGGAGTTCAGTGTCTCAACCAGCATGCAACCTGCTGACCCCAGAATTGTACACTTTAAAAAAGTGAATTTGGGGACCAGCAGGTGGCATGGTGGTTAAGGGCACTGGACTTCCACATGGCCGGCCACGGTTCGAATCCCCACCTGGCGGCAGACTTTTTCACTTTCTATCTCTCTCACTCGTTCACTCGCTCTGTCCCTCTCTGGTCAAATTAAAATAACTAACTAAATAAATAAAGTGAAATAAAATAATTCTTTAAAAAGGATTATTTTATGACATGTAAATCATATTTCAATAAAATAAAGAAATGGTTTAAATTTCAGTTATATATAATATGATCCCTGCAGTAATAATCTATAACTGTATTTGTCTAGGAAAATTCTGGAAGATTATTCATGTAGTTAGTATTACAATAGCCATTTCTTGGCTGGAATATTGAGTTTTAGCTTATTTATATTTTCCTCTTTTATTCATTCATTTGGCAAATATTTATCGAGAACTTACTGTATAGTGAACCAGGCTCAGTGTTTTGTATGCAAGGTCTAATGTCTCAAAATAATTTCAAAAGATTGATAATAGTATCTCCTGAGGCTCAACATGCTAAGGAAGGCCCAAAATCACACATCACATAAGAGGAAGAGCTGAGGATTGGATAAAAACTGTGTGATTTTACAGCTCATACTTCTCACCACTCTGCTGAGGTGTCTGTTTTTGACAAGTCAACTTTGCTGGTGTCCTAAGTACATGCTTGGTTGGACTGTGGGTGATCTGGTGTAACCTCTATCTTCTGGGATCTCCTCCACCTCCACCCCTTCAAAGTGCCTGTACCTCCATGCTGATCCCTCCTGGGTCCTCCAAGCTGCAGGAAGGATGAGGAGCTGGCTGCTGAGTAGAGCTGTTCAGAGAGTGACAGATGGTTGGACTGACAAGCACTTGGGTTGTTGACAGAAGCAGTGACTGGGTGGCAGAGGTACTTGTGGACTGCCCACAATTTGTGCTCTCTCCTCCTCAGTGTAGACTTGTTGCTTCATAAGCACTATCTGGGCAGGAATCACATGGCCCAGTCCCTCTTGCAATTAACCAGAGTCATGAGATTAGTCTCTGTCAATAGAAAAGATGCAACATGATATCAGATTGTCTCCAGGCCAGCCAGTAAAGAGCCAGCTAAACATTCTCCATGGTCAGTATTTGCCCTACAACCTACCACAGGCAAAGGCTCTGAGGCCCCAGAAGATGGTAAAGTTACAAGGTGGCAGAAGCCTGCGTCCCTGATAAAGTACTTGGAGCACAGCAACTCTGATCTACAACAGTGTTTTGGACATTATCTGGGCAAGAAATAACTTTCCATTGTGTTTGAGCCACTGTACATTTTTGAACAGTATATCCTGCCAACACAGGTAGGTGCAAATAATTTGTCATCAGTGAGGTAGAGGACTCGACCAGTTTGCTCTCTTTTTCCTCCTCTGAATAGGTGTGCATACATGCACTCGCACAGCCTCTTTCACGAATTTAGACTCAGAATGGGTTAGTAGATGCTGTCAATGGTGGCTCTTCCTCTTGGGTCTTACAGTTTCAGTGCTTTCTAATGATTTTCAACTGCAGAAGCTCCTTTCTGCTCTTCTAAGGGATTTCCCTAAAATCAACTGAGACCATTCTGTGCAGGGCAGACCAGAAATTTCAAAGAACTAACAATCCTGCCATTTCCTAGAGTAGCCCTCAATCAATGACTAATGGGAGATGTATGAATACCTCAGCTCCTTCACCCCTCTGGCAAAATAACTGTGAAACACATATGCTTTTCCCAGTTTCCTCTTGGGACTAAGCACAGTCATCCACAGTGGTGATTGACTTTATTATAATGAGCTCTTCTTTGGTTGTTTCTCTTCCTCACCTCAAGTTCCCATTCTCATCACTGTTCCTTACACCTCCCAGATAAACTGCATGCACTTGAATCCTTGTCTCAAGTCTGCTTCTTGGGAAACCCAAAGTAAAACAAAAGATCTTTAGCTCTTTAGCCAAATGATCCATATCTCTGCTATGGACTGAATTGTGTTCACCCAAAATTCTTATGTTGAAGCCCAAACCCTTAGTACCTCAGAATGCGACTGCCTCTGGAGATAGGGCCTTCAAAGAGGTGATTATATTAAGATGAGCCAAGAGGGTGGGCCCTAATCCAATATGACTGGTGTCCTTATAAGAATAAGAAATTTGGACATACAGAGGGGTCCATATGTGCAGAGGGACAGCTCCAGGAAGAGGCAATAAGGAGGCAGCTTTTTGTAAGTTGGGGAGGAAGGCCTCCAAGGAAATCAACCCTGCTAGTACCTCAAAATTGGACCTCCA